GCCCCCCCTTGTCCCAATTCCTCCCTTTTTTGCCCCATTTTGCAGCCGACGAAGCCTCCAAGGCCGCCGGCTCAGACGAGCGGCGCGGGGTGAAGCGGCAGCGCGACGAGAAGGACGAGCACGGCCGGGCCTACTATGAGTTCCGTGAGGAGGCCTACAACAGCAGGTACGGCCCTTCTGGGGCACAAACAGCCCTTTTTGGGCAAAAACAGCCCTTCTGGGGGGAAAAACGGCCACTTTGGGGCAAAACCAGCCCTGCTGGGGGGAAAAACGGCCACTTTTGGGGCGGGAACAGCTGGTTTTGGGGTAGAAACAGCTCCAAATCCAGCTCCTTTTTGGGGCAAAACCAGCCCTTTTTGGGCAAAACCAGCCCTTTTTGGGGGAAAAAACAGCTCCTTTTTGGGGCAGAAACAGCTCCTTTTTGGGGCAGAAACAGCTCCAAAAGCAGCTCCTTTTTGGGGCAAATCCAGCTCCTTTTTGGGCACAAACAGCCCTTTCTGGGCAAAAACAGCCCTTCTGGGGGGAAAAACGGCCACTTTGGGGCAAAACCAGCCCTGCTGGGGGGAAAAACGGCCACTTTTGGGGCAGGAAGAGCTGGTTTTGGGGTAGAAACAGCTCCAAAAACGGCCCCTTTTTGGGGCAGAAACAGCCCTTTTTGGGGCAGAACCAGCTCCTTTCTGGGCAAAACCAGTCCTTTTGGGGGGAAAAACGGCCACTTTTGGGGCGGAACAGCTGGTTTTGGGGTAGAAACAGCTCCAAAAACGGCCCCTTGTTGGGGCAGAAACAGCCCCTTTTGGGGCAAAACCAGCCCTTTTGGGGGAAAAACTGCCACTTCTGGGGCAGGAACAGCTTCAAATTCAGCTCCTGTTTGGGGCAAAACCAGCTCCTTTTGGGGCAGAAACTGCTCCAAAGCCAGCTCCTGTCTGGGGCAAATCCAGCTCCTGTTTGGGGTAGAAACAGCTCCAAAACCGGCTCCTGTTTGGGGCAGAACCAGCCCTGCTGGGGGGAAAAACAGCCACTTTTGGGGCAGGAACAGCTCCTTTTGGGGCAGAAACAGCTCCAAACCCAGCTCCTTTTTTGGGCAAACCCAGCCCTTTTTGGGCAAAACCAGCCCTTTTGGGGAAAAAAACCAGCTCCTTTTGGGGCAGAAACAGTTCCAAATCCAGCTCCTTTTTGGGGGCAAATCCAGCTCCTTTTTTGGGGGAAAAAACAGCTCCTTT